TGCATTACTTTGCACTTATCAGCATTGAATTTCATCTGCCATTTTGTTGCCCAGTCATCCAGCTTTGTGAGATCCCTTAGTAACCCTTCACAGTCTGCTATGACTTAACTATTTTGAACAATTTTGTATCATCTTCTGAAAGTCTAAACAGGAGTGTCACAAAGGTCACTGCTAGGGGCTGAGCATTTTTGATAATTATTTGTGTCTCTAAATTGGAGATGAGCCCTTTTGGAAATTTGATCCAGACTGTGGGTCCCAAGCACTTGAAAATCTGCCCCTTAAAAGTCTAAGTTCCCCCAAAAGGTGGCCAGGTAGATTTAATTATAATATCTAGTCTTATGTAGCATTTTTCATCCATAGAACTCAAAGCACTTTACGGCGTAGTTAAGCATCATTATCCCCATTTTACAGATGAGGAAACAGAGGCATGGAGAGGTTAAAAAGACTTTGCTGGGTGATTTTGGCTATCTGATGGTTAAGCTGGGAATAGAATCAAGGTCTCCTTAGTCCCCCTGCTAGGCCATACTGCTCTATTAGGCCACACTGCCTGATCTTTGTAGTGTACTGAATCTGAACTGGTTCCATTGACAGGGCTGCCTGCTTGGCGTATTCTAGTATTGACCTCAGCAGTTGGTTAGGGTGAACAAACCCTTCACTTATGGACCCCTGGGGGAAAAAGGGTTATTGTAGGTTAAAAATGGGAATATACCTATATCTCAGGAAAAAACATTTAATTGTATTTTATTTACAGAATTGGGCCTAATTAGCATCAATAGCAGCTGCACCCATGCATACGCTGGGCACTATTTGGTTCATAGAGGTTACGTATCGATAGGAAATGTCAATGAAATATAGCAAAATAAAAATTTTCAATCTTGTGAATATCTTGAACCACCTGACTTAACCAAGACATTACATGCTTCCAAATGATAACAGGCCAAGAAAAGATCTCACTCAGACATGTGTCATTAAAATCATGTGTCCATTCCTATTTATTATAATAAAAAAGAAGAAAATCTAGATTTGAGTCATATTTCCTAAGAGTTCATCATATGCTGGCACATAACACTTGTGAATTTTATTCAATTCATTTAAAATGATTTCTAGCACACAGCCAGCAAGTTAAGGACTGCAAGGAATTCAAATGATCACCAGGCATAGAAGATTTCTCAAGAGACAGCTTTCAAATCATAAGCGAGGTATATTTTCCTTTAGGAATTGTACTTAAAAAAAATTAGATCTAATGACTACATATTTTTCAAAATAAGACAGGCTTACTCATGTTGTGAAATCAATTGACTCACATATCCTTAAAAGGGCAGATTCTATTTTTTGCACAAAAGTCAGTTTGAAATGGGCCAAGATACAGCAGCTCAACAAATCTCAATTGCTATCAATCCTAGATGTAGATGCATAGTTACTGGAGGCAAGAGAACTAATTTTTTACTAGTACGTCTTGGAGTTGTTTAGGACCAAGTTAGGACCCATTTGTGTGCCGGTACAAGGGATGTATGCCTCTTTAATCCCTTACACCAGTGTACCATGCTGGGACATTGCAGGCTTCACAGAACTGCTACATACCCTCTTGTGCAGGTGGGTAGAGTCTTGACTCTGCTCTTTCAATGTCCCCATCAGAGTGCTTGCTCTGGTCCATTAGGGAGCATTAGCAGCAACAGGGATAGAACTACTACAGTGCACCCCTTCCCTGCTGCAGTGAGGAGACTGGGAGCAAGACTGTGATTAGTACAGAGGTAAATAGACTAATTGTACAGATTTTTAATCCTGCTTAATGAATGGATTTTAAATTATATGATCTAGCCTCTGTAGTTTGCTTCATAGTTAGTGTAACACTGTGATGAGCATGTTACGTTCTCAACTTGGATTTACTCTTGATTTTTCTGTTTTCAGTGTCAAATAAACCTGGTTTTATTTAAAAATATTGGAAATGATACTTGTTAGGTAAAGGGTAATCGCTGCTGGGAGCTCTCAAGGGAAAGTGATTACACACAAAGAAGGTACCACGCTTAGCACTTCATCAAAGTGAGAGCTGGCAGAGGTCAGGGTGGGCACATAGCCCTCCGGGGCAGTTTGGATCCAAGAAGCAGTGATCCAGTGGAGTTTTCAAAGTTAAAATAGCTCTTCTAAGGGAAGGATGGATCAAACCATTCTTTGGCGCATGTGAGTGTGTGAGAGAGAAATATTTTAGCGTCTAAGTAGTTGGGGGAAGAGTTTGATGCATTATTTTGGAATGGACAGCACAGTTTAATCATACTACATTCCAATGCTCTCTGAATACTATTTCCTATGGCATAAAGAATATTTCCCAGAACTCAGAAGTCCTGAGCAAGAGAGAGATATGTCAAGGTATCTTTAGGACAGTTTCACCTAACACTTCCCTGCCAAATGAAGCTATTACTGCGAGGGAGCAGGGAAGCTTAGGGATTATGTCAAGGGTGATGTGGCTTGCCCACTTCAAGGAGAAGTAGTGAGCATTAGAGCTAGTATGGAAGGTAAGTAGTTATAAAACTGAGCAAGATGTTTTCCATCTGACTGTTTCTCTAAGTCCTAGTCTACACTTGGGGGAGAGGCGGAAATCGGTTTAAGTTACGCAACTTCAGCTACGTGAATAATGTAGCTGAAGTCGACATACTTAGATCGACTTACTGTGGTGTCTTCACTGCAGTGAGTTGACTGCTGCCGCTCCCCCATTGACTCTGCCTGCGCCTCTCGTGGAGTACAGGAGTTGATGGGAGAGGGCTCGGGGGTCGATTTATCACGTCTAGACTAGACACGATAAAATCGATCCCCGCTGGATCGATCGCTGCCCACCGATCCGGCGGGTAGTGTAGACATACCTTAACATTCCCTCTTCATTTCACTGATCTTGTTTTTATTGATAGCATCAAGTACATGTATTGAGTAATTCACCCCAACTTAGCGTATACTCACACCTCTTTCATCTGGTTGATATGATGGGACTTGCAGAGAACAAATACCAGTATTTCTGCTCTCACTAAATCAGTAATTACCTGGCCTCTCAAATAGGTTTTTTATTAAGCAGCCTTTATGTAGAACTTATTGTCATTTTCCAAATGAAGGAAAATGCTTCAATCAGTCACTGGTTTTGATTTACAACCAATAATGCTGTGGACTCAACAAATGGAGATTGCTGACTAGTGAGAACAATGAACTTAGTTAACAGAATTAACAAGTGTGTTGTTTAACCGTAATGACAGCAATAAAACAGGAGATGTGACGTTGATACAGTCACAACTGAATCATAATGGATGAGATATTTATGGCAAAGCTGTTAAAACATTGAATAAAATATGGGGAGAGTAAAAGCAGATGTGGTTTTATTCTTCTGAGCTGAAGCTTGTAAAGTAAGAGATAGTATGAGTAATAGTCACAGGTTCTAGTTCACAATGCATTAATAAATATTGATATGGTGCCAGTGCTGAACTTTCCAGATACAGAAATAAAGTGAGAAAACCTGCTCTTGCATTATGTATTACTAACTTTAAATTTTATGGCACACATGGCAATATCCCATTATGATATTACACACACGCCCTTTACTTATATAACTACAGATCATGCAGGTTAAATGCACAAACTTTTTCCTATGGGAAAGTGTTTCTAGCTAAAAAAAAATAGATTAGGATCTGACAAATGGCATTGTTCTAGAGTCATTACACATCTATTTTATGTATGTATTTTAGTTACTTATGTGGTCCCCCATTACTGTAATGGCTCACAATCTTTTAATGCATTTAACCTACCTCAAAAGGGGTGTTGTGAGGATAATACCACTATCCCCATTAAAAAAA